AAATATAAAGAAATGCCAAATCACATGCAGGTTTTTTTCAGACCGGAGACCATAATCGTGTAATAATTTATTTTATTATGACATGAAACGTCCAATTTTTCTTTCAATAATGTTTTAAAGTTTTGCAAGAAAGTACCTGGTACTTTTTTTAGGACCACCTCGGTTGGGGTTCCAAGTGAACCGTACCGTTACCAAAACGTGACGTGTAAACTCTGGATTGGCCGGATTGGCCGGAGAGAATCGTCACTACCTGCGTCACTGAACTTGCAACACAAACACAAAAGAATTAAATCAGCTAAATCAGCACAGCCAGCGAAGGATCGAACGCAACTGTTTTGAACGAGCGCACCTTTTTTTAACAACCAAAAAGTGGCTGTTTCGTTGTCTGTTGAGGAAGTACAGACGTTTCTCTCGTTGATAGCAGAGGAGCGGATCCAGCGAGCTTGATGGGGCGAGGCAGAATGAAAAAGGTTTTCATGAGTCACGGCAATAGAGGCGGCACAACTATAACGACATGTGAATAATCCCGCCCACTCTAAAGCGGTACTGAACTGCAGTGGAAACGCGAGCCGAGCCGAGCCGAGCCGTGCCGTACCGTACTGAGCCGAGTCGTACCACGCAGTGGAAAAGCGCCAAAGGTAATACTAAAAAAAAGTACCAGGTACTGTACCCAGTGGAAAACCCACAAAAAGTGAACCGTACCGTGCCGTACCATGCAGTGGAAAAGCGCCATAACTGTCGACTAGCAGTGGGAGTCAGATTGCCCCCTAGTGGATGGCTAAAGATTTGTTAACTCATATTCATAAATTCTCAAGAGAACGTCTCACAGGTTGAAAACCCCTGCTCTAGCATAGAGATTCTGATATTGGCTAGTGCTTTTTTATATGGTAATGATATTAATTAGGGGGCGTTTACAAGGCGGAGATCTGACACCAGTCAGCTGCGCACAATTTCAAGATCAACACCTGGAACAGAGGCATATGCACGTGTTTTTGTGCGCACGTTCGTTTTCTCTGAATCGCACTTAGGCACTTTTGAGAAATGATCTTAGAACAAATTTAGGACTGTTTATACGCAACATTTTATAAATGAGGCCCGTGATGCTCACTGCGTGATATGCTGATAAAAAATCACACACAAAACCTTTGCAATGATACCATAGTTCATCGTAGCATTACACTTGACAATGGTCATAATACAGATGCAGAAACTGTCTTGACTTTTTAAATTCAGGTAATAACATTGGACTTTTAAATTTTATTTTGACTGCTGAAATAGAAATGCCCCCAGTTTTAATTTCAGATCACCTTAATTTACCGTAGGTAAAATTGTTACCTATATATACCTTGTATGCAGTGATACAAGTTACCAGAGTGTTACCAGAGAGGTAACAGTAATAAAATGTGACATTAAGTCTCAAGTATGTAAGCACACTATTATTGTGTAATGAAAATGTAAATGCTGAAGAGGACAACTGGGATGCATATGCCACATGAGGTTGTGCTGCAGGGTGCAATAGGGCGATCTGAATCTGAATCACTGACTAAATTGGATTTCATGCTTGTCCCTCTTCACAAAGCTTCACTGGAGATTGCATCACTCAATGTGGCAAGATTAAATATGCATCAGATCAAAACAATTACAGGTTTTTCTGGTTGAAGGAGGCCTCTCCGATTTAGACGGCTAACCTTCACTCGCCTTTTCCAATCTCAGCTGCGGTAAACAAGATGGGTCGACAGGGAAAAGTGGAGAGAGGCTAAGTGGCCGAGGCCCTATTAAATTAATCAGGCAGGCGAACACTTGGCTCATTTTGGATAGATTAAAAAGGATTATAAATAGAAAGATGCAGTGCACTGCTGATGTTGAATCCTGCCCAAGTGTGAGCACATGGCCTGTGTGGAAGGGTGTTGCTGAAACTGGCAGGGGCAAGAATGGCCAATCTTCATGCTGGCCTGTTCACTGTGGCATCGCTTTCAGGTCACCAGTCACAGCCTCCACATGTGTAAACAGCAAACGATAAGAGCTGCGATGCGCTGTGAGCCTTTACACTCTCTGGAAAAGTGGTGCGAAATGGAAGAAAGGGGACACTTTCCAGCTCTGGAAATGACAAATATTTTCCACAAAGTCATTTTCTGCAAACCAACAGCATCACGGGTACTTCATCACCCTGAAACGTGTTTATATGTCTCATGTAGACATCACAGCTACACTCTTCCTGGCCAAGAATAGAAGCAGGACTTACAGCTGACTGAGACATTTGGCAAATCACTATACAGGACTCGTGCAGAAAGATTTTTTTTTAACCCAGCTTCATTGGAAAAAACGTGCCTGTGGACATTTCTGCAAAATGATATTACGCTGCTTCTTGCAGGTTTAGTGACACTATTAAAGTGGAAAATGTCCAGTGAGTGGAGTTAAAAGCAATTTGGAAATGAAATGACTGTTGTGTGGTGCTAAAAGGTTAATGCTCCATTGTATCTGAAAAGAATGTTCCACCTAAACCCTACAGATAAGTAATCATAAGATCAATACACATTTCCTGAAACATCCATGCAAGTTTATCTTGCTTCTACAAAGCCTTTAAGCTTTTTTTTTTTATTGTGATCTATGTCATATTTTATGGGACTCGTACCCAAGCATTACACATTACAAGTGCAATGCTGTACCAGGTGAGCTACTAAGCAAGATTGTCAGAAAAGTCATACATATGGAGGTGTGCCAAAATATGTTAGAATACAATTTGACCCTTTGCAGGGAATTTGTTTGAAAGGCCATGTGACCAATCATGATGCCATTTTTGTCCAACAAACAAACCAGTCAGGAGAGATTAATGATTAATGTCGGTGGGCTTAACTTGAAAAATGGTGTGTATAGCGGTTGAATCAGGATACCTTCTGATGTATATTCATGTTTATTTCATACTATAGTAAAGAGGAAGAGATGATCGGTTCACTGCCCTTTGAACTAAGGCACTACAACACATTAAAAAGTCACAAAATGGTAACCATTGTTTGAATTTCTTAAAAAATGACCCAATTTGAAAACGGAGACTTTGTTTCATACCAAAAATTACCTGCTCTGTCTCGTCTGTTGACAGATTGTCAGTTTCCACTTTGCTCCGCAATGTATTTTTCACAGCGTGAGAATGTGATGTGTGGCATGAGAGCACCATGACTTGTCGAATGTAGCAACAGTAATGAAGGAGGGCGGGGCTTTGCGAAGGGTCAGTTATGCACTATGATAAAAGTGTTTTCAGATCATAACATAGTATTGTTCTATATATTGTTCAACTACTGTTCTGTAGGAACCAAACAAAAATTCGTCTTTATTAATGTTTTACCCTGTGATCATAATTTGTATAAACAGGAAAAAATTTTTGGTGTTTTACTGCCGCTAGTATTCATTTCAGATGGAACCTGCTGTGATCTATGTATATGTAAGTTTTTGGAGTTTTGCAAAACCCTGTTTTTCAGTCTGTATTTCCTCTCTTTGTAGCAAAACGTACATACATTTTGACAGAGGTTAAAAGCTAAAGCTCACAGTTTCAGCTGGTTGATAGTTTAATCTGGCCTGTTAGCCAGCTGTACCGATCTGATAAGAGAACTAAAACAAGGCCAGAGAATCTAAATATAGACCCTGCCTTTCACAGTATTATTAGGCTTGACCTACGAATGACTGGGTCTTTTTGTAAACATTCTTTTGGGCTGCTGCCCTTCAAAAATATGCAACCATAACCATTCATAACCCTCATGGGGTTGTTCGAAGCAAAATAATGTGTTGACAGTTCCAAAAGCAATTCATATTTTGTAGTATTTGCGTACATGTTGTATTTTTAAGATTACATTAGGGAGCATCCTGAAAACGTCTGTATCGGGAACTCTGCTTGAAGGTAAATAATCAGCATGTTGTTTTTGGACATTACAATTCTTTCCTTACACCCCGCAGGAATGAGCAACCCTGGATGTGATATTATGATTCTATGCTTTAATAGCAGAATACCCATGAAAGAGATGCTGAGAGATTCCACTGTTCATCTGTTGCCTGTGAATGATGTCCTCATGGCAAGATTTAGCAGAAACATGACTGGAAGAGCATGAGGCAATGTGACAAGCTTACCGATATTTTAAAAGAGCACTTGAGGCTGGGAACACGAGCAGAACGTAACAGTGCCTGCTATACATTCGATGGCAAACAGGCTTCGTTTACAGTCGTAGCGGGAAGGCTGCTGTTTGGCGTCACTCAGCGGCGTGGCTATTTTTGGTGCACAATGTCTATATATAGCATACTAGTAAGGTCATCTGGGTCACGTTCGCCAGTGTCATCTCAACATAAACAGGAGATGGCTGGCTAAAAGGGATTGTGGGTAATATTTCCTGTCTCACTAAATGTGAAACTGTTTCAGCCTGGTTATTATCCCGGGGGATGGGATGATTATTCTCCATCTCTAAAACAGCTTGGCCTGAAGATGGCCTGAAAAAAACATGAATGAGGTTAAGCTCTCTCTTGCTTTCTCAATGTCAGTCTATTTTCTTCTCTATTAATACGAGTGACCAAACAGAGCCTGTTTATTACATTTGAACTAAATCAATCATACGCCAGAGGGAAAAAAATATGTAATTATCATCCCAAATGTTTTAATTGCCACTACTGTATTGTAAGTGTACTGTACTGTAATGGCACTGTACTGTGTCTATCTACTTGATTGTAAACAAGACATTCTAATTACAGTAGATTGCATTCAAATAAATAACAGAAATATAAAGAAAATTATTTCTGAAGGTCTCATAAAGTTAATTAACTTTGTTTACCTCAGTGTATATGAGTGATCAAACAGAGCTTGTTTTCAGATTTATTTCTTTATTTCAGTTCATTGATCACACAACTCCGAGAGAAAATAAAATGAATTAACTGATTTATTTATTGATCCCACTAATTATTATAAACTACTGTATAAATACAATAAAGATAGTAACTACATAGCTTAAAAACAAATAAATAACTTAGAGAGAGACTTTAAGTGGCACTCGTTCCTGGCAGCCTTTGTTTGGTGGTGTTGAATTCTGGTAGGACAGTCTCACAAATACAACAATCAGTATGACGCCTGTAAACAAGAACATAAAATGTGATTGCAGGAGCTGCAAATTGTATTATCCTCTTCCGTTTCCAATCATTTCAGGATGTTCTGAATGAGCTGTGTACATGTCTCACCTATAACTCCCAGAGTTCCGAGCAGGATGCCCACTGTTGACTGAATAGTGGGCATGCCCTGAAGCTGTTTTGGTGCTGTTCTACAGTTCCCTCTCACATTGCATGGGCAAACCGTCACTGTAAGAGAAAAAACGAACATTGAGCTCTTTTTAAATGCATTAGAGGGGCAAGGAAAATAGGACATATTTATGGAGCACTAGGTGAGGGTGATTGCATCGGTGAGGTCTCGTGGGAAACTAGCATGAGTGTCAGACATAGGGAAAGAGAGAGGAGCCATGCACCTGTGGCCATGCCATGCATCACTGGAGACTGTGTGAACAGGATGTTTCAAGAGAGAATCTATTAAACCAATGAATGTGAATGCGTGACCAAGCAGACACAAAAACACACAGCATTGGTTCTCAACCTTTTTGACTCAAAGGCCCCCATATTTGCAAAGATAATTATTTCTGCTGTAATTACAACAACACTGCTTGATATATTAAATTAAACATGATTCACTATATATATGATTTTAGATTATATCTAAAATCATATATATTTTTTAGCATTTTAATTGTTTTATTTTTTAATATAATTATTAATGAATAATAAATGAATTTTAAATCATCCTGTGGCCCCCTTGAGAACCCCTTGTTGTCAAATAATGTACTTAATATTCACATACAGTATGCTCAACATAAAACTATGTTTTTATTCAATTCAAAAATGTTATTTAATATGAATGAATCATATTTAAATGTTCTTTTCAAGACCAATATTTTTTAAATTAACCTGTATGCATGTTTTATTTATTTTTAAATGAATTAAACTTCAACTGCATTAATCCACTTTTTACAATGTACCTTCCAGAGAATATGCAAAAGGCAAAATCTAAATAAACATTTATTTAACATGAAAAAAAATCTCACCTATTCTCACAACCTCACATCAGTAAGCTTTATGAGAAAACAAGGCTCCATCATTACAGATACTGACTACATTAGTGCTCAATTGTTTCACAAATGTCCTCTGACTGAACAGTCATTAAGCTTATTTGTACATTGTTAATAATGTGAATGACGTGGCTCTGCTTGCTTTATCATGTAAATGTGGCTTAATTGCGTTCTTTATGTGTTGGGGGAACATTGTGAGAGATCTAAATTAAAAAATGTCATTTGTGACCTCCAGTGAACATTACAGTCTCCAGTGAGTCCATTTAACATTGTGTTCAGACAGCTAGTGAATGCAATGTATGAATGTAATGAAATGACGTACATGGTTTCGTTCTTTACGTAAACATGCTCTCTTTTCATTCATTCAGTTCTATGTTAGTCCGTGTATGTTACCTGGCAGATTGATGAACGTGCTTCTGGGTGGAGAGCTGCTGTCTGAGATGGTAAATGGTACGATGTAAACCTCTGGAGGCAGGTATGGGACATTCAAAGACAGGTTGGTGTGAGTGTCTGTGGAAAAAAATGAAATCCCAGCTTACATTTCCATGAAAGATTAGTCATAAAGAACAATGTTATTGCTCTGTTGGCTTGACAATATAAATATTAGCAATGCACTAAAATATGCTATCATCAAGTTAGTATCCCTAGCTAGCAACATGCTAATAATGTGCTAAAACAGGTTAGCAACATGTTAAAATGCTAGCAATGTGCTAAAACAGCTAAACAATGTGCTATAACATTCTAGTAATGTGTTAAAATCTGTTAGTAACATACTAAGACAATGCTAGCAGCATGCTAAATCTTGCATTCAATGCCAACTAGCTAGCTGTATAACATCTATATAACCATCAAACTTAAAACTTTATTTTAAACTTTCAGATGAGGCTTTGTCAAGCCAGCATCAAAGTTTGTCCATACAAACATTATTTTCTCTAGTTATTGATACGAGTTATAATATTTACCCTTGACATTAACAGAAATACAGTAATTAGGTGACAAAACATTAAACTAAGTCAAGCAGTCGAGTGTAATGCTGCTGAGTAAATCTTATGGGAAAACTCCTCACTCTGCCCAATCGGGATTTGGCCGTGTGACGCAAAAGCAAGAACTCAGTCCAGTAAACAAGGGGCTGTTATCAGTCTCTGCTCACTCTTATCAATGGTCCAAGAAGCCCCACTACTGTCCTTTGACACTAGAGTCCTTTAATGTGCTAGTCAACAGGGGACTAAAGGGGGTCACCAGTACTAAACTAGTACAGGATTATCTCTCACAGGTATCTCTCGTCAGAGGTGACCAATATGTTGCCCATAGCCTCCACATCAAAAGCTTTCTGGTGGAAGCACTTTAAGAAATTGATTCTACACAATATAGACAGTACACTACAACTATCTATTGGGCCTATTCATAGTTTTCATTCACGTGACTGGCATGGAGACCGGGAAAACTGCAGCACAAGTGTGTCAATTTTCCATCTGTTTCAAGCCCTGAATATTTAGATCACCTCTCAAACGAAGAAAAACAAATATATGTGATCAGACTTCATATTTTGGGCATGTGCAATCCATATACAGCACCTGCCAGTATTTCAATCACTGAAAACAGCAGGATATCCTAAAACTGTTACCATGAAAAACACTTAACGATGTGATTTTTAAAAATATCAAATTCAGTGTACACCTTACTGATGATGCGTACTAAATACAGGCAAGCAGATGACATCTTATTTGCAATTTTGAATCTTTATTTTTTTTATCCTTAATTCAAATTCAGGAACTGAACTCCATCAGACATTAAAGACGTGGATGTGCTTGTGTCATGAGTGGGCACACACATCAAACAAGCAAAGACACGTGTTCATTTACATTTAGTCATTTTGCAGATGCTTTTATCCAAAGCGACTTACAGTTGGGGAATACATAAAGCGATTCTTCTTAAAGAGGCAAACAGACACAGGAAGTGCTTGTAATACCAAGTTTTAGGCAATGTTCAAATAAGTACAAGCTAGAAAAGGAAAGGAATAAATAAAGAGAAAGACAAAGTTTTTTTTTTAAATTTAGGATGAAGTCAAGTAGCGTCGGAAGAGATGAGTTTTCAGCAGTCGCTTGAAAATTGTCAGGGATTCAGCATTCCGGATAGGGGTGGGAAGATCATTCCACCAGCCAGGAATGGTGAACGAGAATGTTCTGGAAAGTGAATTTGAGCCTCTCTGTGATTGTACCACGAGGCGTCGCTCACTAGCGGATCTCAGACTTCTGGAGGGGATGTAGATTCGTAGTAGTGAGTGGAAGTAGGCGGGTGCTGAGCCTGTGGCTGTTCTATATGCAAGCATCAATGTCTTGAACTTGATGCGAGCCGCAACCGGTAGCCAGTGTAAGGAAATAAAGAGAGGTGTAACATGGGCTCTTGTGGGCTCGTTGAAGACCAGTCGTGTTCAGGGTGAAATATAAATTGAGACCTACAGACGCCAGACTACGTCATCCCTCACCATCATTCTCGACACGCTTTCATGATGGAGCATGTAAAGCTGGATGAGTAAAAAAGGAAGAGAGAGAGGTGAGTGTGAAAAAAAAGAAACTCACTGTTGGATGTCTAAAGATCAATTAGATGAAAAGTCAATGAAAGTACACTTTTAGCCTCTCAACCAACCGACCCCAGCTGTGAGATCATATAAATTAAAGGCAACATAAATACCCCATGTCACTAGAGGGGGCCTTTTTTATCCATTAACAACAAGGAAAAAAAAAACACGAGAAAAACTTAGACACAGACCGAGAAGAAAAAAATTGAGCGTGAAAGAAAAAGAGTGAACAACAGAATCAAAATCTATTGGATTCTGGTCCGTGACTCAGACGCTGCAACTAAGTCAACCTGCTCACTGGCATGAGCTTGGCACATTAATGACGCCTGAAGCTATCAGGAAGAAAGCCATTACGCTTATTACATCCAACACATATTCGTCTGAAGACACTAGACATGGAGGGCAATTTCTTTCTTTGTCAGTACGCCCTTTCCCCAGACCTGCACTGTGTGTGAGATTCAGCAGGTGGAACGCATTACACCCAGTTCTGATGACGTCTCAATTTGACTGCACAGATGTTACAGCCACAGAAAAACAGTTTTTTTATTTTCAAATCTCTAATTTTATCCACACTGACGTCATTGCTTGAGGAGGTCAACGTAACTGGGCATGTCAGTGCTATTGTGATTATAGAAGGTTTGGGCAAATTAAGATCGTCTGACATGTAATTTTGAAATGACTGACAGACAGAAATATCTTTAAAGACGGGCCACGTAGTTCTTGGGCGACAGGGGAGATTTGTCACTTCACATTCAACTTATTCAATACGTAGAGGGGCTGGAAGTGGGTCAAGAAAAAGACAAACCATTGATAGGAGTGAGCTTCCAGTTGCGGCGGACAGTGGCGTCACTGCGGAGGGAGAAGTTGAGCCTTCCTCCATGCTGGGGCCCATCGCTGTCCCGAGAGGCCAGAACCAGAGCCTGATCCTCCCAGCGAGGTGTGCACAGGTATTTCCAGGAGTAATTGCCCACCAGAACTGGGCTGTTGTCATTTACATCCAGAATGTGCACTGTCACCAGCGTGGAGGCCGACAAAGAGGAATTACCTGAAGGAGAGAAGAGGTGGCAGAACGTATTAATCATTTTCATCTTGAGCTGTACTTAGTGTGCATTTAGTGTATTTCAGTATGTTGCTGTTTGAAATGGTTGCTGTTCTTACATGGATGGCTCACTCAAAAATGAAGAAATTTTGAAGAATGTTGGTAACCAAAAAGGTTTGGTGACCATTGACTTTCACTGTATGCACAACAAAAGACTGAGAAATTTTTCGAAATATCTTTAAAATAAATATCTATTCAGATGAAGAAAGTCATTCAGGTTTGGACTGCCATAAGGGTGAGTAAATGATGACAAAATTTCATTTTTCACTATCCTTTTAAGAGTATTAACTACATAGAATCCACATCATATGCAATGCCTCAAAAGCTTTATTATACTGTGCTCAGGAGATAAAGCCATGAATTATTAAAATACTGTTCATAAAAAATATGCAACTTCAGCCATTGTTCAGCAGATTTAAAATGTTGTTAGATTAAGCTGCTGCTTGCACTGTTTCTTCGCTCTCTTCACTGCAGGAGATGTTTTAAAACAGACATTAACCTGATGCTAAATACTGGTCAAGAGCTGTATCAAAGGCTGTGCAGATTGAGATTAGTGCTACAAAGCTCAATGGAATCAGTCTGCATTTAACCAGCTACAGTATTATAAAACAATAAAAACTGATTTGAAAAGGAATATCCAACTTTACATATTTATCTTGCAAATAACAACTCTACACCTACAAGCGAGCCCCCAGAAAACGGATAAATAAAACTGCAACTAATTTCAGGGGGAATTGAATTTCGTGTGTTTGCATTTTAAGCCTGTCCTGCAAAAACATGCATATTTTCATACTTTTATGTATTAACATATTTTGTTATGACACCTATATAGCAAATACATTAATATATTGACCTGAATTTTTGTCTCTTAACTATATAGAATTGCTTAGTTAACTTAAAACTGTATTTTTGTTAACATTTTTAAAATAGACTTTCACGCAATTTCACTCAAAATAGTTTGAGATTAAACAATAATTGGCAGACCACCTGTGGTACCGCCAAGTACATCCTAGGGCTCATGGACCCCCTTTTGAAGACCCCTTCACTAATAAACGACTCATAAACATTTGGCGGTGCTTTTAAAGATGTATGAATTAAATGGAATGTTTGGGTTTCAATCAAGATGAAGCTTCTTCTTGACAGGTAAGCTAAATTTAAGATTTGGTGCACGTTAGCTGTTTACTATCAATCCCCAGATGAAATAATATTGTAAGCATAAGAATAATCCTTACTTTATTTTTGTAATTACACTAGGTGACATGAGTAGTGCAGAAACTGCATTCTTCACCTTTAACTATAGTTTACGACAATACTCAATCAAACATCACACTGAAGGAATTGTGTTGATATATATATATTATATATAATATTTATACTTAAAAATATCTGTAAAGCATTTGACATAATTTCCTTTTTACAGCTTTCCAACCCTTACTGTCTATTTTTATGCATCTCTTTCTGCAGTCCAGAGTAAAATACAATGAAGGTCAGAAGCTCTCAGATACCGAGGTATGTGTATTATTTTTGTCTATCATCTATGGTTTCTTTATTTCTCCCTGCTCTTATACCCTCCCTCTCATTTGGACCCTGCTTCAACACTCAAGACCACGCAAGAGTCATATCGTTGGTTCTCGTCTCATCTCTCTCCTTTTTTCTCCTCCGTAAACATTTGTGACTGAGCATTCAGGACTGGACTGATTTCTCATCTGAGCACACTGATGGGAGCAGAAGGTAATTGGAGGGTGAACTGTGTGACCTTCACACCTCAAATCTTTGATCTGCGCCCTACGTTCAGGTGCGGAGGAATGATGTGGTATTCTATACCACACACACACATCGTTCACACGCCACAACATCTCAGCTGGTGACTCATTCACTGCTAGTTACAATGTCTGAGATTTCTCTCACGGCGTGTGGATGTGGCCCAGAATTTTTAAATGAGATCTGATCCTGAATAGAGCCTGTCACAGCATTTTGAAATGTCAAGTGTCTCGGCAGCACTGATGATTTTGAAAGAGAGAAAGCCGAGGGATGCTGATTTCCCCCAGATGTCTCGCATTGATAGCATCTTCTTCTTGTACTTGCTCTGTATAATGACTTCAGTTTGACGGACATGCTTATTCAAACAAACAACATGAATTGACAGCCCTCCACAGTGAATGCACAGCAAGAGGAGGGAGTAAAATATCTCTTACGCCCATCTTCAGCCACCACTTCCATGGTGTAGGTGCTGTTCTCCTCTCTGTCCAAAGCCTGGACCGTCTTGAGCTCTCCTGAGTACTTCCCAATAGAGAAATATTTCTTAGTGTCTCCTCTCAGCGAATACCTGAAGAAAGAACAGTGAGAGTTTGAATTATCATTCTCTTTCCTAATCAAGCAATTATAACATTATGGATTATAATACAACAACAAAACGAGATGAATTTGCTCATATACAAAGAGAATAATAGGTTTTCAGCATGATTTCTGAAGGATTGGATTAATGGCTGCTGAAAATTCAGCTTTGCCATCACAGGAATATATTACATTTTAAAATATATTACAAAAGAAACCAGTTATTTTAAATTGTAATAATATTTTACAATATTACTGTTTTTAATGCATTTTAGATCAAGATTCAGATTCTTTTCCACCTTCCAATGGAAAATGTATGATTGAAATCTATATGAACAAGTAACTATTCTTGAGGCAGTCCTCTCAAATCACACCAGATGCCTGCCATTTTATGCACTACTTCCCCTGCTGTTTAGCCAAGGAACCAGAATCAGTCATGTCAGGTACATGAAATTATGTGGCAACATCTGAACGGCAGGATAACACCTGCTTGTACACTGTGTACAATCCACAACCTGAACAGACCACAGTAATTGACAATGACAGTGCTTCTGCATGTTTATATTCTGGTGTACACTTCTGGATTAAGAGTCTCTTAAGAGTTTTAGTTTTGAAGCAAATAGTGAATTTCCTCCGTGTGGTTTAGATTTTGAGAATGTGCTATTTGTGTAAATTGAGATTTAATAATATGGGGTATCTCTTGTAGTTTACGAATGTAAGGGACAGCTGGAAAATGTTGCAGGGTGGGAATCGATGTATAGATCCTATTGGTATTGTGATAGGTATTTGTACTAATTTAAATGAGTGAAAAATCACCTTACCTGATTGGATGAGAGTCAGGGTCATAACCTCTGATTGTGGCAATAACACGTCCTGGCTCCTCCCCTTCTCTGACAGTGACTTCATAATGGCTCTGAGACAAAACGGGCCCTTCATTGATGTCATCGATAAAAATGGTGACAGTTGCTGTGGATGCCGGTCCATATCTGCCTCGGACCAGAGCAACTGGGTTCTGAGCGCTCAGCACCAGTATGTACTCATTCTCCCGCTCAAAGTCCAGCACCTGCACACAAATGAACACACTGTTAGTACAGTATGTTTATTTTTGATGCATGGAGGATGGCTTCAAGAGAAAATAAAGCCACTCGGTAATTATGAACATTGAAAAAGGACAAAAAGGCAGTGCTCTGATTTTCTCTTCATAATCTGTACCAGCACACTGTAGACCAGGACAAAATCGCACAATCTGAGAGTGTCTCACTAGTCATCACAATGTGTCAACCTGCATTTCTGAAGGTAAAATGTGTTCAATTCAGGTTCTGAATGACCCATTGTATGCTCTGATGTCATTCATCAAACTGAAGGTCAGATATTTCTGTGGATGCGCACAACCTGCTGACATCACTCTGACTGTATGTCCTACACTGGGCTGTCTTCCAGGAAAACAGGGCTGTAACACAAAAGGTAACAGAATGCAGATAAATGTCGATCTGAGAGTGGGCGGTAATGACACGCCATTACCGATGTCAAAACACTCTGTGTTTGTCCATACCTGTAATTGTCATCTTTACATCTTCATCTTAATTCTCAAGCCTTCACCTTTAAAGCTTCTTTGTTGAAAAATCAACAAAAATCATCTTGACTATAATTGTTAATAAATGATGATGTCACCGATGGTGCAAATGTTGAATCTGTATTTATGTTCCCAGAAAGGAGAAAATGAGAAAAACAGAGACTGGGAGATAAAGACTAATGCTACTGACTGGAAGTGAACAGCATTACCATTTTTTTCATCTTAATTCTCAAGCCTTCACCTTTAAAGCTTCTTTGTTGAAAAATCAACAAAAATCTTCTTGACTATAATTGTTAACAAATGATGATGTCACCGATGGTGCAAATGTTGAATCTGTATTTATGTTCCCAGAAAGGATAAAATGAGAAAAACAGAGACTGGGAGATAAAGACTAATGCTACTGACTGGAAGTGAACAGCATTACCATTTTTTCCCACTAGTAATATTACATCCAAACTTCTCTTAATTTAATTCATTATGTCACTTAATTCACTTTTATTTTAAAGAGCAGACAGCATTCTGACCAGACCCTGATGTTCTGCCACTCTTTGCCCTTATTCCAGATGTTATCCCAGTCAACCACAATAACAGTGTCCTGTACAACTAGGATCTACAAATCAAATGGTGACCAGAAACGTGGTATTAGTGTTTGATGACCAGTTAAGACTTCATTGGCCACTTCTCCACTTCTTCTCCAGGGAAAATGAAACCCTAATTGTCATGTTACTTTGACCTCTTTTTTTCTTATTCAGTTTAAGAAGCTCTCTTTTTACAACAATACATTTCTAATAATGTTACAGAAAGCTCTATCCTTTTGCTCCACTTAGAACACATGAGTGTGTTCAGCACACTTGTCACCATGGACAAGAAATGAGCTGTTCTCAAATCCTCAGCCAATCCGTGCATAAAAAGAACACAAAAAATGGTTCATACTAGCTCCTGACAACTGTAAAAACATTGCTCTAACAGGCTTCAAGGCAGCAGCAAATTCCATTTATTACTGTTGTTTACCTAAAAACAGTTCTTCTACTTTGAAACACAAAATATATGTGGTCTCCAGCGTCGATCGCCCATGCTGCAAA